GCATGAAAATCTGCATCGATCTAGGTTGTTAGTTTTCACATTATTCTTATAAGAATAAAAAATTATATATATTACAATGACCAGCCAAAATACTTAAAACCTATAAAGGATCTACATGCCCCAAAACTAAAGTGATGTTAGAAAAATTTTTGTTAGATCCACTACAAGAGAAATAAAATACCCAGAAACGTCTACAATTCTAAGCTCTATCTTTCTCTGATGTCAAAAATTAAAAAAAAAGAGGTGACAGATTTATGAACTTATTCGGGGGTGTTCTTTCACTGTGGCAATTTTGTTTAACGCCTATACAAACACAAGCTTGTTATCTATCACAGGTAGTAGAACGGAAAGAAACAGCAACACCGCAACATTACACATCTGAATGGAAAGATCAATGAAGGACGTTGGTTAGGTAGAGAGAAAGGATGGCGAAAGAGATCAAGGATATAAAATGCCGCAGGCTTTGAACGCAGATGGCCCACGAGACCAAAGATACAATATTTTTTTAGAACCGCAGTTTGGGAAGTCAGAATCACTCACAAATGGATATTCAAAATTCTACGAACACACAAATGCACCTCATGGACTAGGTTAGTCTCGCACTACTCTATTGGTAGGCTTATTACTCATCTATCGTTTCAGGTGTATATCAAATACTCACAGCAGATGGCGATGGCCGGCCAACGACTCGTTACACTGGAATGTCAAATGATCTCTCACGGCGCATAGATGAACACACACGAGGTGGATCTGACAATATTTCATCATTAATGAATCAGGCATGGAATCGAGGTATTGATACGCGCGTCCGCTATGCAGAGGCCGATTCAAGAATAGAGGCGCGAGCACAAGAGATTTATCTTCTAGACAAACGCAGCTACGATTGGAATACGCTAAATAATGGCAAACCAAATCCTCATTGGCATCGATGAACAGATTAATTGACTTCAGTCTTTTTATTCCATGAAACAGAATTTAGAACTATGAACATTATAAGTGTGCTGGTCTTTTTGAAGGATGCAAAGCACTTCTTGAACTATTTTGAATAAACCTGAGATCTTGAGTAGCCTTGATGAGTTTCCATGCTGTGGACCAATTTATTTGAAACTAAATTTTACAAAAAGAAGACATAACGAATTCAAATAGGAATATCTAAAATGCAAGACTTAGGAATTCTATTCGCATACCTATATAATATATATATTTACATATGTGCAGATACATATATGTATAGGTGTGTTTGTTCACAAGTGCGGGACATATAAATTATATTCGAATCGATTCATGTTTAAGAAGTACTTTTCAAATAGCTAATGATTCATAAGTTTCGCACCCCGAAAAAAAAACACTCTTACACATATATGGGGTGTGGGTGTGGATATGACCATAGTTGAAATCAACACTTAGATCCACACCGACACTCACACCCACACACCCATACCCATACCCACACCCACACCCACACACCCACCCACCCACACCCACACCCTAAAAAATATTATACGACAACAAATATTTTTTTAATTATCGGCTTGTCCGGCTAACGGTCAACCAGACTGATTAAAGTAGAACCTATCTATTTCTCAAGGCTGACTATATCATGTTGTAGAAAACACTTTGCTCTGTCAGCAAATGTAGTCGTTTCTTTTTTTTCTCATACAGGAGAGAAAAGCTGCACGACAGACAACATAGGTAGACTTCTTGAAATATCTATACGTGTTCGTGCTTTTAAAGAAACTTTTGAAAAAAGAACAGAATTTTAACTAAAAATTGAAGCGTCATATATATTGCGCATGGCGAAGTTTGAACTTTTTTCTGATATAATTTTCAGCTGCTTTATGATTAGTAGAAAAAAACGGGGAATATCTGAAAACTTCATCAAATCTGAAGTGAGTGCGTTACCGATTAGGGCTTTTAGTTTAGTTTACGCCACAATCATACAAGCATTTAAGTTGATACTTAAGAACTTCCGTTAACTTTCCATGGACTATCAAATGGCTAGGTTGGTTTTTACTTACATATTTTTTCTGCCGAAAAATTGGTAACGCACTCACCTTACCGACCCACTTCCATGTTTTAAACCCCATATATGTATGTTTGATGGGATGGATTGCTTCTATAATAAATGGCTTTCAATATGATTTATTAATGTTGCTATCTTATAGAGATGTCAACAAGCCATGATTTCTCTTGGCTTCACGTCTCAGGCTTTAGACTAAATTAGATCTGGCAGGTAGACCTACGATCGGAGCTTAGGAGTTCACCAATTCATATTTGATCAGTTGATATGTTGACTCAGGATACGTGTGAATTACATTTTGCACCTTCATCATATATTTCATAGAAATCTCGACTGGCTATTTCCTCCTTTTTCGCAAAGAAATGACAAAATGAAACGAAAACCGAAACCATTACTCGACTGAAATATGGCATAAAAACTTAATAAATGAATATTTCAACTAGAACAATTTTTCAATAATATTTTGTCAAAGAAATAGATATAAAATTCATACATTCTTGTTTTTGGACGAAATATGCTATTCAGTATCGATTATAAGAGTGATTTAACAGATAACGGAAAAGCACTTGTGATATACTAACAGTTATGGAAGCACAAACATTAGCTCTACGACACTATTTCGTATCCTATTTTTTATTGTGAAATCTTATATAATTTTGCTACCAAAGTCGAAGAAAGCTATTTTAACACGTCTGCAGTGTGAGAGAAAACAACAAGTCCACCAGGAAAAAAAATTAGAATATGAAAAAGTGAGTGCGTTACCAGAACGTGAGTGCGTTACCGTAGTATTTTGACTACAGGTCTGAAGCAGCACAATATTTTTAAAAGATTGTTTTACCATTAGATAGCCCTAATTTTCTACTACAAACTTTCTATGAATCATATCTCTTAATAACTGAACAATTCGCAGGAATTTTAACATTTCTGATACCACTAAGAAAGGGAAGGGCCTTTTTTGTGAGTGCGTTACAATCCTGTATTTTCCTTATAAAATTTGAATAATAAAGCCGATCGATGTGAAACTTATAGTGGTTGTACAGTTTTGCAAGGTGTATATATGCACCAAGTTTCAAGGCTTTACGCTTTACCGCTAGAGAGAAATTCAAATCGAAACTTGACAAAACGTGAGTGCGTTACCTGCGGACAGGCCGTTATCAAACATAATATGCATGTTATAAGAACAGATGAATTTTGAATCATTGACTTGTACATGCATTAAATATTGAATATTTAATTAAAAACTGCAAACGTTATAATATTGCAAAGTCGATCAATTTTTCTTGTAGAACTATTTAGTAACAATCATAAAATAAAGAAAATCATTAGACTTTATCTACACTAAAATGATATATCATAAAATATTGTGCTTTCAACATAAACATGACGTTCTTTAATAATCACTTTATTATGCATCATTAATATCATATGGTGCCTAGAGCACCTCAGATGTTGAATTGATGTCACCGCATATTTTATTATTTAAAAATATTTCATTTCGATAACAAAAATATGGCAACAACAAGAAAATACAATTAAAACTACATTTAAAAAAGATATGCAGACAAGATATAATGAGAACCATCTTTGCAGAAAAAAAATGCCCGTTTCGAACAAATTAGTCAGAAAAGCAAGTGGAATATATTTCTAGAACTTATATTGTCAATCTTTCGTAAAAAATCTAATACTGGATAAAAATTTTCACCTTTTCATTCTGTCAGTGAAAGCAATTTTCGTTGGCGCGGGTTATGACTATTCTAAAACACGTCTACACTCTGTTTGTAAAGAATTGTGATTCATATAATCATAAATATTCAGTTATAAAAGCTTTCCCAATCATTGCAAGCCATCCGCCTACCCAAACAGTAATGATTATTGATTTAGAACTATTTGTATTTTTTCTTTTGATTAGTATCATTTAGAATAATTTGGAAAACTATATTCTGTATGATATTAATCAATCGTAGGAACTAGGAAAAAACGCAACACTGTGAAAGATAAAAAAATGTCCACTTTAATAAAAATTTAATGATAATATGTGAATTCATATATAAAATCCCATTCTGGTTGAAAAATACAGATATCTATAGCAATCATCCCGGATAATTCGTTGAGAAAATTTTAAAAAATCTTATAAAAAAAGCTGTTAGCGCAATCCCTTGCGGGATGAAAAATGTGAAACGCGATGGACCTATTGTTACTAATTAAATGGGCATCGTTTCGTTCCATTTCGTTACGATATATTTCTAGCTTACCGTTTATTTGATGCTTCAAAACTACACTTTCTCTGTCTCGGTCTGTGATGGTTTCTAGGGATTCTCTGTCACGGTTGGTGATGGGTTCTGAGGTTCTCTGTCACGGTCTGTGGGAGAGGGGGGTTGGGTGCAAATTTCTGCCCCTAAACACTCCAACACTCCTTTCAGATCGTGTTTCACAATAGCGATTTAGAAGAAAGTAAAGATGGGCTAAAGTGCCATTAAGTCTAAACAACCTCATGTTAAGATAGAGGACTTGTGCTCTCTAGGAAATCTTTTTTTGTTGTCCTTTTCTTCTATTTAATAAGGAATTCTGCGTCAAGTGAACATTTTTTTAATCTTCAAGAGTCCTCAATTGAAAGATATATAACTGCTCTATAAAATTTATAATATTAAGCTATACTAAATGGAATATAAACTGGCTACAAACTACTGTATATATAATTATAAATAAGGAATTTTAAAAAGTCGTCTTTCGTGACTAAAAACGTTCAAACTGGCAAATTAGATCTACTATAAGTGGAAAAAATGCACTGTTAAATTAAATGAATAGATGAAACTTGAGAATTAATCTGACAGCACCGAATTACATACATATCTGTTCATTTAATGAGTACAATTATGTTGTATCAGTATGACAGGTCTTGAATGAAAGATTATCATCAGTTGCACCCACACTCTCTTTATCATATTCAATAACTCATTTGCATCATCATTTAATGATATTTCTAAATAAAAGAGATTAAAATATTGATTAATAAATATATCCTACCTGACATTTTGGTTAAAAAATCAGTTTCAACTTTAATAAACAATGCATCATCTCGAACAAATTGATCTTTATTTTGTTGAAATACATTAAGTGGAAAGAATTTTGGAATTCCATAAGCAATATTCATATCAGTAGTTGGACGTTGAAAACTACTTGATGTAGTTTTAGACCAAAATGAAACCGAATGATTATTTTCTGATGACAATTGATTAAGTAAATTAAATGTTATTTTTAGTTTTAATGGCCACGAAAGAATTGTATCATCATTGCCTTGCATTATTACCAAATATAATGACATATGTGTCCCTCGTGTATTATTATCTCCATTTAAAAATAATCGTAAACACATTTTATAACCTGTTTGAAAAGAATAAAATGGTGGTAAATCGATTGATTTATATCGTTCGTATTTCGCATCCACTATAATAAATAAATATTAATAAATAAATTCGAAAAATTTCTATTTATTTTTATACTTGTCTTTTCTTCAAAATTCGTTATTTTCCACATAAATGCACCATCAGAAGATGTAGATTGTGCATCTTCAACATGCTCTTTCAACAACAGAAGTTGCTGATATAATAAATTTTGATTAATTTCTACTCCACGAATACAACCATCAATTTCTTGAGCTAATTTTTCAAATATAGACCATTGTTGATCTTCAATTGAAATAAGATGTTGATAATGACCAGATTCTCTATTTATTCGGTGCATATCATCATTCAGATTCTTTGTAGAATTTAATAAAGTGGATATGGCACCTAGAATTTGATTGTCATTTACATTACTATTGTTTGATGAACGTATAATACACAAGATGGAAAGAATTTGTTGATGCATTTGATTTAAACTATTTTGAACAACCTAAAAAATTCTGTTCGTTAATATTAAATCATTAATTCAATATTTACTTGTTGATTAGTAATAGAATTATTGGAAAATTCTTGATGATTTTGATTAACATGTTTCTAGAAAATAATATAATTGTATAATAAAAATAACTAATATATTTTACTTGATAAAATTTAAACGATCCTGTCCATGCACATTCTAAACATGTTGTTAATAAATGATATAGTTCATTTTCAAAACCCCGATCGAACCATGCCTTCAAGGATATATATTTAAAAATAAAACATTAAAGATAATTGAATAACTTACTTTATTTTTTAAGATAAATTCCGAACATATTGAACAACAAATACTACAAAGAAAAATATTATTATTTGAATAAATTATAACATATATTTACTTGTCTTTGTTGTTTACACAGGATTCACGTAGCCTATGTCCACATTGAAGTTGATATGGTTTTTGAAAAAATTTATTGCAAATTGGACAAATGAAACGCAGATTGTTATTTTTTTCAATAAAATCATGTTGAACTGTCGAAGAATACCTTTTTGGTACTGGAGAATAACGATCAGAATTGTTGGCTCGCTTTGCACCAATACGTTCAATTTGTATATCAGTGATATTTTCTATCATCGACCGATCAATTGGTTGAGATGGATCAACAGCTCCTCCAGTCTCAGCATTTTCTAATTGTTTTTCTAAATTACGTTCAAGACAAAATTCGAATTTTTCACTTTCTTTTGATCCAGATAGTAAACAACTTTGACCAGATTGACGATGATCATCAACATCGTAATATACGTAAATGCGTCGAACTTGTTCAATTTGATGAACAGCCTTTTCCATCAATTCTTCCAAATACTGATTAGAAACATGTAAGTAGAATGTGTCTGTATCCTTCATATGATCGCATACATATTTGTATAAGGTAGTTACGTCATAGAATAACTTGATAGAATGGCCAAGTTTATTCTCTAAAATAGGCTTGACAGAAAGTACAAGAATGTGTTTTACACAATCTTGACGTTTTTCTAATGCCATGTAGAATAATTTAATATATAACTATAGAATACAAATTATAAATAGGTATTCTATATTAATAAATAAAATATTGAAGAATAATAAATGAAAATAATTCTATAATTTATTCGATATTAAGTAGTGTATAGATATCTGAAATATAAATTATATTTATTGATTAATAATATGATTATTATATTGATAAAACAAAACCCTTAAAATTACATCGATAATAATTCGATTAAATACAAAAATATATATAGTTTTACAATACGTACAAAAATAAAATAAAAGCTTAAAAGTATGTATGATTAGATCGGCTTCCTGCTGTACATAATTCTTATATTAAAAAAAAAGAAAAATGATTTATTGGCATTCTAAAAGCTGCTATCATTCTTCTTTTTCTATGAGTGCGCACAAACATTAATATAAGATGCGAAAATAAATATAAAATTAACCAGTTATTATTAGTCAAAAATTTGAAGCAGACGAAAATAAAAGCATACAAATGACTTCAGCAAGTGTTTCTAATTTCGATCTACTTGACAGTGAATCATTTCTAATTTATTAAACATTCTGTTTAAAATCAAAAAAATGAAAAACAATTTAATTTAATTTAAATATATGCATGCATTAGATTTTTCTTTATTTATGTGATACTTAAGTGTCTAGGTTAAATGCCTAACTATGATTATACATAAGGAAATTTTTCACAATATCATTTACTACGAGAAAAAAGAACAAGAACATCGACTACTTTACCACTATAAACACAAAGAGAATCTTATTAATTAAAGTTTAATTCATCGAAGATGTTTCCTTGATTTTAATCAATTCTCTTTTTCTTCTACGAATAACAACATAAAGATATTTTTCAAAATCTTTTTTATTGATATAATAAGATGATCGCTTACGTTCTTACGCATTCTAGAGTGTCTTTGCCAATGCACAAAGCTTCAGAGCACGTTCATAGTGTCGTTGAACTTCTAATTCATTATTTTCATCTTCTCGTTTTTGATCGCCTATTTCCTCCGAAAATAGGGCAAGATCAATAGTTAATCTAATCAGAAGTCGTATATCATCATTATAAATCCCGTCAATCTTGACATAAGATCTTGAAAATCTTTGTAAAGTAGTTAATTGATTCATGTTACAGCGAATAAGAATTGAACGAATATTTTTGTATGGATGACTGCGAGATACAATATTTTGAATATTAATATTTGCTTCAGTCACCAGAGAAGCAACTCTCATTGAAGAATTGTTATTCAACCAATGCCATAATTGCTCTTCTGTGTGGAAGAGAATTAAGGTTATATCCCGAGGTATTAAATATTCAATGAGAGCAGTTCTTAATGACGAATGCGTATGACCGTACCACAGCACTACAAGAGCGCCATTTCTTACTAGAATAAACAGTAAAAAAATACATTAATCTTTCTTAGTTTCAGAAGTATCAAATAAATCCTTCTGAACTAAAACCGTTTCCTACCACTGCCATAAATTAGGCGAGATTGTTCATGTTGATCAGACAATTGATCAATTAATGTTTCATTATCATCGATAGTTGCATCGCTTTTAGGCAAGATTATCGATGGTAGGTTTACTAATGATAAATGAACAGTTGGTAATATGTCTATTAGAGAAGACATGCAAACTTAAAAATTTTTTTTAATCGAAAAAAACATCGAATGATTATTTATAAATCAAATGATGTAAAAAAATCTGAAAATAAGCACGCATATATAAAAGAAAAATGAACAAAGAAACGGATAATGTGTGTCGCAAGGAACTCAATGAACGATTCTCCTTTTAGCAACCATCTACATATTAGAAATAAAAAAGATAAAATAATGTGTGTCTTGTGTGCAAAGAAAAAAAACAAGATTTTTTCTCAGAAAGGAAGAAAAAACAGAAGTATGTAAATGGGAAAATACCCACTACATTCAGAAAAACAATGAGTAAGCGTCAGATTAAAAGATGCGGCTGATTTCTTCTTCAAAACTGACTAAATTACGATAAAAAAATTGATTTATATTACGATTACATAAATATCTGAATTAAATGATCAATATATCTCAATCGATGTACTTTTGTTAAATAGAATTAATATGAATGAATTGTAGACTATTGTATAAAAGTGATGAATTCTGGGAAAAAACCCAGTGAATTCCGAAAGCTCTCGATGAAATAAAGAACAGGAAAAAAAATTATTCATTTTTATCATATGAGTAATGCTGTATGGCATTCATCGAAGACACAACATCATTGTCGTGAGAGAGTCGATGAAAAGATTCTTCCTTTCCTCAATGATTTTTTTTCATACAACCTTTGCTTTGTTGGCTTGTGTTTAGTCTTTTTTCTTTCTACATGTGCCGCTGACGTGGCTAAAATTTAATCGCAGTATTTTTATTTTTATTCAATCAAGGTAATCGATGAAAGGTTAACAAATAAAAAGCTTGTTAGCGCAGTCCCTTTAGGGCTGAAATGAGGAACTCACATATACTCTATAGCCTCATTAAACTAATACAAAATATGTAAAATGATAAACCTCTCGTAGACTATAGCTGTTTTGTAGTATAATCGAAAATCAGCGTAAGAATTCTTCTAATTTCTGTATTTCGAACAGAAATTTTTTTCTATAGGTGCCCTATTTTTATTTTGCATTGTTACTATTCGCTCATTATCTGTCGTTTTTTTTTTAATTCGACTTTATTATTTTTCTTCATCATCGACTATCTCATAAATCAAACTGTTATAACAATGCACTATATATGCATCAGCAGATCTTACCCTACTACTATATATCCGAATCAACTCATAAATGGGGATATCGTTTTTTTTTAAACTGATAAAAAGATTGAATCATCTTTTTCATATTGATTATATGAGTGCTATGACAGATCACTCTATTACTACTCTTCATTTTTCATTTTTAAAGTACAAATTTAAATTCTAAAAAAGTTGACAATTTCGCTATTAAGAACTTTAATAGACATATTATAGTTTTCCAAATATTAATCAAGGCTTTGAAATATTCTATAAGAGTCGCGCTCATATTGTTTATACTGTTAAACTTCTTTTTTTTTATTAATAAATAAATCTGAAGCCTGTTGCGTGCGGTTGCTGAGGTCTGTAATCGGGACCTCTCGTTGCTAAGTGTCTCTAACGGAGGGGGAGGGGGAGGGGAAGAGCCGCCAAAACTTCGACTTAAAACTTACACTCAGTATTTTCTTTGAAAATATATGTGAGTTCCACAAAATTAATATAAGAATTTTAGAAATTGATCTTTTGTTTTTTCATATTTATCTTTAATTTAACTCCAAATGAAAATAATTCTATTAGATATTCTCTTTTACATATCTCAACACTATCTTATTCATAATTTTATATAATTAATATATATGTTCATAATCATAATAGAATCACTTTTGATTTTGTTTATGAATTAATTCAACTCTTATTTATGTTTATTTAAAAGAAAAAAATAATAATCTTTAAAATATATTTAATAACATATTTTAAAAATAAAATAAAAAGAGATTTGACAAATATAAAGAGTTCTAATCTATAGGTCAGAGTACAAAGATCTTCTTCTCTATGGTTATTTATCATTGCATTAAGTGACATATTTATCTTTATTTTGTTTTTTATAGAAAACAATAAGCATAAGATGTTGATTATAAATCTATTCTAAAAATAGAAATGTTTTATCTGAATTTATATAGAATAAAATAATAAGTTGAGATAATTATTCATGGAAGTGAAACAATTATTCCACCAGATAATGCATGAGTTGAACTAAAATAAATAAATAAATAAATAATAACGAATGTCTCAGAATAAACTACATTAAATCTTAATGAATTTTTCTCCTATTTTCAAATCATCAAAAACATTCCTTTTTATATGAAAAGATAGAGAATTTTAAGCTCTATAAAACTCTTTATACTTTATATCGTTTTAAACAAATGAAAAATCTTAGAAAATAAAGATATGTGTCATATGTGTATAGAATTAAATTAGTTAAAAGATATTTTATCATTAATATATTAACATGTAAATTAAATTCTTCTTTTCTTTTTCCAAATGGTAAACTAAATATTTTTAGTTTTCTTTAGTTTTATATTTATTATAATAAATATTATTCTTACCAATAAATTATTTATTAATAAACTTAATTTTCTATTATAGTAAATAATAAAAATAATTAAAAAAAATGACAATAGCTGTTTTACATGGAAGAATTTTAGAATATATATATATACATAAGTGCAACAAGAAAAAAGAAAGCAAAGGATATATCCTGAGAAAAAAAACATCAAATATATTATTGTTCATCAATTAATGGTTCAACAACTAATAAATCCATTCTTGATGTACTTTTATCTTTGAATGATGAAGCAATAAATAAAGCAGCTCCTCAATGTGTTAAACCTTTCATTGAATATCCATTTAAACCAACATCAAGATCATTTGACACGTATGTACAACCATCAGGCTTTATGTAAAATCATACATTTTACATTTCTGTTAATTCAAAAATAATTTATCTGCACAATGATTAGACCAACTATTTTCTCTTATTCTTAAATAAAGCTATCATATATATATAAGGATGTTATCTTATTTAAACCGGTTTTTCTTTTTCGATAGGTAACCTTAAAACGCCCACCTTTCGAACTACCATTTGAGGTCCGTACGAACTCTTGCCTGGCAAAATAGAAACAACATATCATATCATCATCGTTTTGTAATAGAAGTAAAATGGCTTTAAAGAAGACTTATGTCTAAGAAGAACACATAGAGCAATAGTTAATCTGAAT